TCACGGTTGAACCTACGAACACAGTGCATTTGCAATAGGGTAGTGAATAACTGGAATTAGCTACCGTCTGAACTGAGTAAGCAGCCAAACGTCAAAGCCTTTAAAAGAGCACTGGACGCCAGATGGTTGGAGGTTTCCCTGACATAGAATGTTAGGTGCATTAATTGTTTTGTGTAATATGGAACGCTTTTACAGTGAGAGTGCCTCGCCGATACGGCGAGAAGTAAAGTCTCTCTTTCTCTCTGTTTGCAGATAGAAAGTGAAACCGATCGATCGCAGAGGTGGACGCACACTAGTGAGCACACCACCGAAGGAATTCTGGACGCTTGATTGGCCCAGGGCAACTACCAGTCTTGTGTAACCTGACCTTAGACATGATCTTAGACGGAGAAGTCAAAACAGATGGTTTTACAGTTACGGGGAGTGACTCAAACCGAGGCGGCGCCGTTGATGTAGCTACCTACCTCAGCTACTCCCTTCCTCCAGTCGTCTTAGTATCCCGGGATTCCATCCCCATGATAGACATTCTATGGGCAGAAATATCTCTTTCCAACAGAGGCTCCATGTTATTAGGTGTCATCTTTCACTCCCCAAACAGCCATCAGACACAGGCACAGACCCTTCTAAACAAACTTCGCTTTCTTCGATCCTGATACCCTTCTACACACCTCCTTATAAACGGCGACTTTAACGCTCCAACTACTGACTGGGCTAGGACTAACTCCAGTGGTAGCTTCTTTGGTCAGCCCCTTCTAAGCCTTATCACTGAGAGATCATGGCACCAACATGTGTGCTCTTCCACCAGATTTCGCCCAGATCAGTCTCCTTCTCTACTCAATTTGGTGATAACGAACAAAGGGCACCAAATCTACGAGGTCTACACTCTCTGCCTACTTGGCAAGAGTGACCACTCTCTCCTGAGCTTTGACTCCATCGTTCATTGGCCTTCCTATAGGTCAGCACCAAGAGTCTTGCGGTCCTTCAAGCGGACCAACTCTGCTACTATAAGGGATTACTTGGCAGCAAATCTGACTTCTGTTAATCTATCTTCAGAAACAAACGGACTCAATGATCAAACTGAGAACATACTCTGAACAGGTGATTGCTTGTTCGTTCCCAAGATAGTTACCCCAACCAAAAGCCGCCGTACTCTTCCACGTTCAATACGTCGGCTTCTGGACGAACGGAACGTCCTTTGGGTAAGGTACAAGCTCACAAAGACGAATAGTGATGCGGACAAATTCAAACTTATCCGGAACCTATACAAGAACAAGATCAGGGAGTTCTTCAACCAGCAATAAAAAGATCTTAGTCAGGGCAAAAAGAAACCCCTCCTACTTCTTCAAACTTCTTCACCATAAAAGGCAACCCAGTTTCTCTACTCTAGTCTGAAACCCCCTGACGGCTCACCTGAAGAGGTAGCGGACACCTTCCAAGATGTGTTCAACTTCGCTCCAACTACTTTTTTCCCTTCTCTACAACCAAACCAGGTATTGCCCCTTTAGAGCACTTCATTGTTCAGACTAAAGAAGTACTCAAACTTCTAAAGTCACTAAACTCTTATAGCTCAGTGGGCCCAGACGAGGTCCACCCCAGAATACTCAGAGAGACAGCAGTTGTACTAGCCCCACATTATGGGCGGCTGTTGCAAAACTGCCTAGATAAAGGTGAACTCCCTGATGGCTGAAAAAAGGCTACCATATCACTGATCTACAAAAAGAGACCCCGGCATCACGCCAGCAGCTACAGACCGATTAGTCCAACTAGCGTCGGCAGCAAAATTTTTGACCGTCTCATTAAGAAACATATTATTGAACACCTGAAGGAAAACAACATTCTTTCTCCCTTTCAACACGGCTTCGTTCCTGGTATATCGTGCATCACCAATATGCTATATGTCATGGAAAGTCTAACCCAGGCCCATGATGATGGTAAAATCTCACATGCAATCTTCATAGATTTTGCCAAAGCCTTTGATCGAGTACCACATTCTCCACTAATTCACAAGCTGGAAATGTATGGTATTAAAGGCTGGTGTTCAAGGGGCTGCGCGCACACCTTCAATGTGTGCAATACATCCCGACGTCAGACTGTCAACCAACAAAAGATCCTTGACTTCTGGTTAGCTAACTCTCTATCTTTCTCTTGTCACCACTAAAAAGCCCGAAAAAAGGCTTTTGGGATACTAAACTTTATCAAGCGCTCCTTTCCTCGATTTAATAAAGAAAGCTTTCAACTCTTATATGGCAATTATTTAAGACCGCTTTTAGAATATGGAACCCAAATAGCGTGCTCTGGACCTTTGGGTGATCGTAACTCCCGCCGCATTCTTCTTTACCATTTATTATCCACAGATACGGCCAACCGGTTTTTCACCCCATGTAGCTCAGATACTCTTTTTGGTCACAGCAAAAAGTTGTTTAAGCCTCGGCCCCGCACCCGAGTTCTTCACTGATTCTTTACCCATACAGTCATTCCATTATGGAACAGCCTCCCGCAGCAGGTTGTTGATGCGCCTTCGAAGAGCATGATCAAACAGAAGCTCGATATATTCCTTGATCTTAAACACGCTGCCACCAGCTCCTAACAGTGGCTTCCACTCGATCTGTTTATCTATCTCTCCATCCACTGCGTCTTCGTTTTGAATGCAT